TCTCAGTTAAAATAACACTGTATTGCAGTGTCAATTTTATTTCTAGAGGTGTATGTGTGTATCAAATACTAATTCGATAGGCTGTAAAACTGGAAGCCACAGGAATTTTGTAAAACATTACAAAGCTTATATAAAGCTATCAATTTGTGGCTTCTTTCTTTAGTATCGGACAACTTAGGTTGATGAGGTGGTTGTAAATATCTTCCATAGAAATCTCTTATGAACTTCCCTATTCCTTGAAAAGACATCCAGCAAAGTAAATGCTTTGAGTGTTGGTTTGATTCACACCACTCCTTACAAACCTTATGAATCTATGAAACTCAATGTCTTCCTCTAAACCAGAGGTCAGCAAACACAGCCGCAGGCCAAATCTGCATTTTAAATGTACATTTTAGTTACATATTTTAATGTTGGGGAAAATATAAGGATATTTTATCACATGTGAATATTATATGAAATTCAAATGTCAGTGTCCATAATAAATAAGTTGTATTGGCACATGGCCACATTCATTTGTTTGCATATTGCCTAGGGCTGCTTTTATGCTACAGCAACAGAGTCCAGTAGCTGTGATGGACTAACTCTAACATGTTTGTCCTCTGGCCCTTTTCAGAAAAAGTTTGCAAAGTCAACAGTGAGAGGGATAATGACTCAGGAGGCAGTCGAGAGGTTCAAACCAGACGATATCATTGAAATGCAATGCAAAAAGAACAACACAGTGGCATCCAGATGCAGTGTTTTTTTTTTTCCCTAATGAAGACAGTCTCACTCTGTCGCCCAGGCTGGAGTGCAGTGGTGCGATCTTGGCTCACTGCAACCTCCGCCTCCTGGGTTCAAACAATTCTACCTCAGCCTCCCGAGTAGCTGGGACTACAGGCGCGTACAACCACGCCCAACTAATTATTTTGTATTTTTAGTAGAGACAGCGTTTCACCATGTTGTCCAGGCTGGTCACAAACTACTGAGCTCAGGCAGTCCGCCTGCCTCAGCCTCCCAAAGTGCTAGGATTACAGGTGTGAGCCACCGCGCCTGGCCAACTTTGCAGTCATTTTAAGCTTTCGATGATGTGAAGGCAGTTGCACTCAAACAGCAAAAGGAGGCTCCTGCACATTGTTTTTCGGTGTTCCCAGCAGTCCAGACTGCTGCAGTATGGACTTGTGTCTCAGTACAGTAAAGACGGCCTAAGCCTTCCCCTCTCCCAGCTACAATGGCAGCAGATGCTGGGACTGAGGATCAGGTTCCCTGGGGCCAGTGCCAGCTCTGCCACTTACAGGCAGATAGTTTCAGGAGATGGAGCTGTTGTCCCCAAGGCATGCTTCGTCTTGTCAGGTCCATCGCCTCATTCTAGAAACTTGGTCTTTTTTATTTTTAAAGGTGGTTTTGCTGCATTGCCCAGGTTAGCGTCAAAATCCTGGGCTCAGGTGATCCTCCTGCCTCAGCCTCCTGAGTAGTTGGGATTGTAGGCATATGCCGCAGGGCCTAGCTAGAAACTCAGTCTTTTACTCGTTTTCCTGGAGCCAGTTGTTTATTGCCAACTCGTGCACACTGAATTCTACTCCACCAGCTATTTTGGTCCCTATGAAAAAGCATGGGCTTTGGGGTCAGTCACACCTAAGTTCCAGTCCCAGTTCTTCCATGTATTTATCATGTGAATGTATGTAACTCATCTTTTTGCTTGATTTCTTTTTTATAAGATGTGGATAATGTTCTTGTGAGGATTAAACTAGATTGGTGTGAGAGGTCCAGGCACATAGAAGTCTCTTGGTAAATGATAATTGAATTGTAACCCTATTTGACCTATGATGCAGTTGCAGGGGGTTGGAGGATATTGATTTTTGAACAAGACAAAACCTACCTCGGTTTTCTGCCAGAGAGAGTTTGGAGGAGGGAGGGAGGGAGAAAGAGAGAGAGAGAAGGAAGGAAGGGAGGGAGGGAAGGAAGAAGGGAGGGAGGGAGGAAGGGAGGAAGGAACGAAAGAAGGAAGGAGGGAAGGAGGGAGGGAAGGAAGAAAGGAAGGAAGGAAGGAAGGAAGGAAGGAAGGAAGGAAGGAAAGAAAGAAATGGAGGCAGGAGTCAGATCAACACAGTGGAGACCCACATTGTATCAGCTTTATCATTGGTAAAATCTAGGTTGGCAGACAAAGCTTAGGTTTGCAGGCGGGTAGCCTTGCTGATACTCTGCTCCTGAATTAGACACACACACTCAGCCATTAGTGCTACTGAACAGCCACGGGCCCTGGAGCACAGACAGCAGGGACAGGCCCCTTTGCAACATAGGAGAGAGAGGAACAGAGCAGAACCTCTGCTGTCTCTAAGTTGGCAAAAGAGAGGAGAGAGAAAGGTGTGGTGACTAAATGCACACCGCATGCTTTTTGCCAGGGGGCCAGAGAGAGGAGGCCCTGCGAGGAGGCAAGGTGTCATTTGGGCAGTTGGTTCCTATAGAAACATGAGGACTAGGGAATAAGCATCCCCCCGGTAGCCCACGTTCTCTCCAGATGGAGAAAGGCCACGCTTACTGCCTGCCTCTCATCAAGTTCTCCCTCCCAAAGGTGGTACACTGCTTAAAGCCTTTCTTTTTTACTCTTCTGCCCTCCTAATGCAATGTGCTGGCCTTGGCCTGCTCCTAGGAGCATTTTATATGGAGTATGATCATGGAATTGAAAGAATATGTGTAGAAATATTGCCTTCAGACCTATGAGGCTTTGTTAGTTTCACATAATTAGGAAGCTGTAATTTTTTCTGGAGTGTAGAGCTCAGACTTTATTGACCCATTTAATTTTTTTTAATAATGACATTTTACTAGAGCAGAACAGCATGCAACCTAGATAGCCTCTGGCTAGATCTCTGAATGATTTTAATTAAAAATAATGTCTCCACTTCTGGTAGATGGACCTTTTCCACAATGTCCTGGCAACAAAACAATAACACTTGGGAGAAAAAAACTTTCTTGGTTTCTGTTGTTCTTACTAACAGAATAATCATACTGTCAATTTTCAATTTAAAAGGTTAATGTATATATATAATGTTTCCTAAAGGAACATTACCTTTTAATTGAGTAATCAGTTTTATCAAATTAACCTTTAGACCTTTTCAATTTTACTGATCTGAGTTTCCATTAAATCAAAATATAGAGTAGGAGGATATAGAGTAGATCCAATGTTTTTGGAACTAGTCATTTCTAGGTCTACTCTGTCCGCAGGGTACATATTCTAAGTTGGTAGCTTTCTGATTCATTTGTCCCTGACCCCGTTATCCTCTGTTTCTGATGAGAAGGTTCCTGGTGGGGATGAACGGAAGGCTTTGGCCCCTCTGCTTGCTATTCTGACTCCTCCCCAGAAGGAAGCTGTTCATCTGGGGCTGGGGGTAGGCTGTGGTTGGAGAGAGGGGATTGAGCTTGCTGGCTTGGCCCCTTTGTCTCACTGTTGGGTCTTCCCTCAGACAGAGTCCTTTCTCTCATGGTTGCCATGCCAAGCCTAAGCAACTAATAGAACAAGATCCTAAGGAAATTGGAATAAGGAACTAATTCTGTGTCACTCTTCAGGTTCCATTGAGAGAGGATCGTCTATTCCCTAGGAGCCTGTGGGATTTCTTTTTCCGACTCTCAGCTCTCCCCCAGAATTGTGGAAGTGGGGTGGGGGACATGGGGAAGGGGTGACACCAAGGGAGAAGAGGATGCTTGTCTGGTGATTAGGACTGAGAAGGACCCCATGCTCACCTCACCCCTTTCTTTTTTAGAGAGGCCTGTCCTCAGGATGGATGCATTCATTCCCTGTTTATTTGTGCCTGAAGTTTCCCAGAGAAGGCTTTGGGAAGGGGATGGCTTGGGTTAGGGGAAAATCAGTTCAGGAGGAACTTACTAGGGAGCACAGACGTAGCTGTGTGTCAAGCACATTCTCCAACTCAGGCTCATTCATTGTCTCAGTTCATTCAGAAGTATGTGATTACTGATTTATTAATTGATCCGCCTATGAAATGCTAGGCATTGCTCTTGATGATGGGGATACAGCAGTGAACAAACAGAAGTCCTTGCCTTTGTAGAACTTACATTTTTAGAGGGGAGAGACAGGCAAGAAAAAAATTAAGTAAAATGTATAGAATGTTAGAGTGGGGTGAGTATCTTTGTGGGGAAGGAGGGGGAAGTGGGATAGAAAATGTCGAGGGGGGCAGTTTTATAAAGTTGGGCTAGGGAAGGCCTCATTAAGAGGGCAGCATGGAGTAAACACCTAAAAGAAGTAAGGGATCCATTTATGCAGCTATCTGGGGAAAGAACATTCCAGAAAGAGGAGACAACCAACACATGTAAAGGTCCTGAGATGGGAATGTGCCTGGAATATTTAGGGAACACCCTCTGCCCTCTAATTCAGTCATTGTGTGGTGTGAGACCCTTCAGTAGCTGTTCCATTGTTTTCAAAAGCAGAGCCTACCTTCTTTTTTTTTTTTTTTTTTTTTTGAGGCAGAGTTTTGCTCTTGGCTGGAGTGCAATGGCACGATCTAGGCTCACCGCAACCTCCGCCTCCTGGGTTCAGGCAATTCTCCTGCCTCAGCCTCCTGAGTAGCAGGGATTACAGGCACATACCACTGGGCCCAGCTAATTTTTTGTATTTTTAGTAGAGACAGGGTTTCACCATGTTGACCAGGATGGTCTTGATCTCTTAACCTTGTGATCCACCCACCTTGGCCTCCCAAGCCTACCTTCTTCATAAGCCTGGCTTATGCTGCAGCCTGACTCCATGCCCCTTCTCCCTCTCCCACTCCTTATCTGCCTTGAATCAGTGGGTCTATTCCAGAGGGGTTTCTACCATGCACCCTTCATATGTGTTGGTTCAACTATCTGTCTGGATGGTTCTCTTACTTTTTCACCTGGCCTATTCTTCCTCACCCTTCGAGTCTCCGCTTAAATGTCACTTGATGAGGGAGGCCTTTTCTTCCCTTCCCATCCCACTCAGACTATATTATGTTATCATTTGCTGCTGCCCTTTCCTTTGCTGTCTCTGTTTTTAGCCATACCATGTCTGAATATGGGAGGATGACAGACTCAGAACGAGACCAGATAGACCAGGATGCCCAGATCTTCATGAGGACCTGTTCAGAAGCAATTCAGCAACTACGAACAGAAGGTAAAGTGCTCTGAAAGATGCAAACGGGCAACCAGGAATACAGCAAGCAGTTAAGCAAGATTCATACGGTGCAGCCAGTTAAAACTCCCTCTTCTTATTTCCACTTAGGTTTTAAAACATTAAAATCTTTGCTTTCTTGATCATTTTTTTAACCAAAGCTGTTAAAAGTAATGAAAAGGCCGTATCATTCAAGTTAAACCAGTGGGGGGAGGAAGATGGAAAGGACTCTCCAAACAGGACCAAAAATTTACCAAGGGGCTGGAGACAGCGAAGACAAAGTGTGTGTGTGTGTGTGTGTGTGTGTGTGTGTGTGTGTATGTGTGTGTGTGCGTGCGCCTCTGTTCTGTGTGGCGTTTAGTGAGATGGGGGTTGACAGCCTGGGGTACTTAAGCTCTCTACTCGTAGTATTCAGATAAACTTTCCTGTCAAACCTTCAAGGTTAGGAGGAAGGCTCTGGAGCCAGGGCTGCTTAGGTTGCACCCCAGCTCCGCCCATCCGAGCCATATAGCCCTCAGCAAGTTACTGAATCTCCCTGGCCCTTGGTTTTTTGTCTATGAAATGCAGACAATTAGGGGATGTATCTCTTGGGTTGTTCTGAGAAGGAAGTTAATTCCTGCAGCATGCTTGGAACCATGTCTGGCACTGGGGCGGTTATTTTCTCACTTTCATTGATGTTTCATTCTCCCGGAGACAATTAGATGGCTTCCCAAGTCGCACCTCTTTCTTGATTCTTTTTTAATTTGCTCAGGCAGATAGAGTCGGTTAAATAGTAAGTAGAGTTCAAAGCTGCCAGATGCTGTTGTGCTCACAACACAGACTTTTGTTTGGGAGGTTTTCGTTAGAATGCTGACGGGCCACTTGGAGACTGATGGAAGCAATAGGCGTTCTTGCCAGAAAAATGTACATACACACAAAATTCATATGCAATTTCTCAGAGCTTCTGAATTCCCCACATGAATCTTGGGTTAAGCAGCCCAATAGTAAAGACATAAATCATGCCCATTACCCTTACGGGCATATGTACTCATTGAGATACCCCAAAAATACACAGGAATATTAACAAAACCTGCATTTACACATGAAACCCTCTAGCCTTGGGCTGTTTATTGCCTCTGACCTTCATATGTAAAATGAGGAAACTCAGAATTGCTATTGTAATTAGCAGTACATATGTAAAGTACTGGCAGAGTACCTGCACACAGTAGGCATTCAATCTCAGTCTGTGGTCACTGTCTTATCAAAACCAGTGCTATAGACTGTAGGTCTGGCTTTTTACCACACTTCTGCATGGTAGTTCCCAGGAGAAAGGCATCTTTGTGGCTCGGAGTCATAGAAGGTTTCCTGGAGATGGAAAGTTTGACTCATTGTCTGAGGGACTCTCAGAATGTGAGTGGCCAAGGGAGAGGATAGGGCACTACAGGCTGAAAAGCAGCACCCGTTCAGGCAGGAGGAATGTGTGATTTCGGTTGGATTTAAACATGTTCCCTGAAGGTCAGCTTGAGCACTGGACGCTGCTAACACAGATGGGGTCAGCACTCAGGACGCGGCTGCGTCAAATCCTACCCTTACGTGCTCTGAAAACTATAAAGTATTTGACCGTAGTTTTTCTACAGGTTTAATCTTTCACTCTTGCAAAGCCTAATAAATCTTACTCTTTTAAAAATGTAGTGTCACTTGACACAAGACTCGTTTTATATCTGTGTTTTAAAAACTACTTTCAGTAAAGAAAGTGTTCTGAGGAATCTGCTGAATTGCTCTTTAGGATAATTGAATACGAAGGCCTGAATGTTGTCCTTTTCTGTTACAGCTCACAAGGAGATACATTCGCAGCAAGTGAAGGAGCACAGGACTGCTGTTTTGGATTTCATTGAAGATTACTTAAAAAGTATTTCATTTTCTCTTAAGGTCAAATGTGGCATTTCACAATAGATGTGATGCAGAATTTTGCTTTGCTAGCTGAAGACTGTAGTATCTCATGATATTTAATGATGCCTTTGCCTGAGAAGCTGTTTTAAGCAGTCTCTGTTTTGGTATTTTCCCTGCTACAGGAGTATGTAAACTTTACTCAGAACAAAGAGCCATCCGAGTTAAAAGAGTGGTGGATAAGAAAAGACTGTAAGTATTGCTTTTCTTGGTGTTTCTTATTTAGTAATAGCACTACCAATAATAGCAATTAAAGTTTGCAGAGCACTTACCCTATGCAACGTACCGTGTTTGAACATGTTCACAAAATGCCATAGCTGGTGCTTATGCAGCACTCACTGTGTGCCAGGCTCCATGCCAGCCACTTTATTGGCCCAAAGCAAACTCCCGTGAGGCAGGTCCTGTTTCCTCCCTCATTTTACAAATGAGGAAGTTGAGGCTCAGGAGGCTTGGCCACCCACCCAAGGTCTCACAGCCCCACAGGTGGCATAGCTGAGGTTTGAGCCAGGCTGTTGGTCCAAAATCTGTGCTCTTGCCCATTTTGTCTCTTAATAACCCTGGCACACTTTGAGCCATTTTACCTCAATGTCTTTGACCCCCTTACAGTCCCTGAAAGTGTATGCCTGAGAGAAGAGCTAGGGCATGGCAAGCAGGCCACTGGAGGCTGTCCTCGGGTCACCCGTGACAGACTTGCTCGATGTCACGTGCTCTGAGTGCGCACCTCTCTCCAACCCCACTACCTGTTGCATGCAGGCACTATTAGGAGCCCCATCAGCAGGTAAGGACACTGACACTCCAGCAGGGTAAATGACTCGCCCAAAGCCACAGAGCCAGGAAGCAGCAGGGCCAGACTCCTGTATTTCCCATGGCGCCAGCCTGTCTTCCCCTCTGGGCTCACATGAGCATCTAGAATGCAAGAGCTGTGTCCTCACAGTCGTTCCCACTCCAGCTCTGCCGGCCTTGGAGATTGAATTCATCAGTGAACAAGTGTCCACATCTGGACCATTTCTAGACCAGCTTTGGAAATGTTTTTGGATGTTCTTTCAAGAGATAACATCACATAATGGTTTGGGGATGCATTTTCTTTTTTATTCTTCTCTTTCTTTTTCTGATACAGGGTCTCACCCTGTCTCCCAGGCTGGAGTGCAGTGGCGTGACCTCCTGGGCTCTAGCAATCCTCCCACCTTAGCCTTCTGAGTAGCTGGAATTACTCTGGAATTACGTGTGCCACCACGTCTGGCTATTTTTAAATTTTATTTTATAGAGGTGGGATGTCACTATGTTGCCCAGGCTGGTGTCAAACTCCTGGGCTAAAGCAGTCCTCCTTCTTCGGCTTCGCGGAGCGCTGGGATTACAGGCATGAGCCACGATGCCTGGCCCACGTTTTTTAAATTGTTATTGTGTCAGGAGTCCCTAGCACTGCTCTCTGGTTCCAGGATTCACCAGGAGGTCTCATAGGACTCAACATACAGTCCTGCTTATGGCTGTGATTTGTCACACTGAAAGGAGATGAAGGAAAAGGCATGTGGGACGAAAGTCCAGAGGAAACCAGGCATGAGCTTCTAAGAGTCCTCTCCCAATGGAGTCACCCAGCAGGTGACCTGTGACAACGTGTGTGAAGTGTTGTCTACCAGGGAAGCTCATTAGCCACTCATTGCCCAGGGGTTCTATTAGGGGCTGATCACATAGGCACCTCACACCTGGCGTGTATCAAAACCCTAGACTCCCAAGAGGAAAGCAGGCGTTCAGCACTGAACTGCATTCAAGCTGCATTTTTGCAAAACTGTTCAGGCACAGCGAGCTGTTCTTATCAATTAGGATGTCATGAACTCTGTCATAGTCCGAGTTCTCAGATGCCAGGCAAGGGTTAACCTTGCAAGCAGGCCTTTCCAAGGATAGCAGTCTCAGGCCTGCTGTGTGAACCCTTTTCTGCACATTTGTGAAACAGATTTGAAATTGTTAATGCCAACAAATAAAAGCATTTGTGAAAGATAGTAGGCAGATCAGTCAAGTTATCTGTCAGCAAATAGCTACTATTACATAATGCACTGAGAGGGTAGCTTGAAAGAAGTCATAGATTGAGTCTTTGCCCTTAGGGAGCTTAGAAGCAGGCTGGGTTGCTATGTAAACATGAAAAATTAGTCACTTAATCATGATGTGTCATAATTAGCAAAGTTGGTAGTAAGCCCAGAGGGGAAAATAGTATGAACAAGTGGCGTAGTATAGAGCCTAAGAGCCAGACTCTGCAGCCAGACAGCCTGTGTTGGAATCCTGGCTCTGCCAACTTCAAAATGTGTGACTCTGAGCAGATTGCTTAACTTCTTGTGCTTGTGCTTCCTTACCTGAAAATGGGAAAAATTAATAGTACCTAACTTGTAGTGTTGTTGAGAGAACAAAATGAAGGTAAAGGTAAAACACTTACAGTGAGTTAATAAATGTTCATTTTTACTATTAATATTATCTACCAGTAAGCATCTACCATGTGCCAGGCAGTATATTATTTTATTCATGAATCCTCAAAACCACTATGTCAATAAATATTAGTGTTTCATTTTCTAAATTAGGATATTGGGGCTCAGCAAATTTGGGTTAGCTATCCAGCATCAAAGCTGAATCAAGATTTGAATCTCAGGGTAATTGGAGCAGATATCTCAAGCAGTGGGATTTGTGTTGGCTGTCAAAAGAAAAATATCTGGGTATGTGAATTAGAGAGCTAGAAAGCAGTCCAGAAGAGTATGAGGTGAAGAGTATGAGGTGAAGGCCAGGGGCACAGTGCGGCCAGTTAGCCCCAAGAAGTTATGGAGGAGGAGGTAGGCCCTCCAGTGATGTGTGATTTATCATCGAGATGTGTGTGGTGGTCACTGGGTCTCACACTCACCAGGGAGAGGAATGCAGATTTCTACTTCATTATCCCAAGAGGACTTAACTGGTACCCAAGCAAAGTAAGAAGAGACTTTGCTGTTACCTTAGTTCCTGTTTCTCAGCAGGGGCCTTGACTAAAATACAAATTAAAATCAGTCAGATGGGAATTGTTCTCATTTAGACAGCAAAGTATAGCCTTGTCTCCTGCCACATAGCTAGCTGCCCTGTGCCAATTACTTTGCACAAAAGACCTTCGGGGAAATAATTATGTGATCCTTCACAATGTAGTCCAGTGCTCTCCTTCTTCTTCTTCCTTCCTCACCTTTAGGCAGAAGGCATCTGCCTAAAATGTACATGTGATTTCATCACTCCCTTGCTTCCATGTCTTACAAGGGCTAAACAGCACAGCATTCAAGGCCCATGATGCCTGAACCACAGCCACAGTAACTCACCACAGTAGTCTGACAACTCCTGAGCTTGTCTCTGCTCTGTTCAGTGAAATGAGACCACCGATTAAATGGGAATGTCAGATTGCTATAAATGTTTCTAAATGCCGACTATTCATTTTTGTACTTATCTTGTAGCAGACTAGTAACCAACAGTCCATGGACGGGTACATGGACCACACTTGGAGTAGCGCTGGGTTAGAAAGTCACCTAGTATGTAGTCGATGCCCAGAAAATATTTGTTGAATGAGTGACTGAGTAGTGGTGAGGATGGCTTAATCGACTGCTGTTGGGGTCCATGGCGCCTGTGCCTGATTGGATACCTTAGTCTGACAGCTAGTTTTGAAATTATAGTACTATGATATTATATATCAAAAATACCTTCTTTCTACCCAGAGCCTTTGTTGGAGGCATAAAAGAAGTACACGCGTACCTCAGAGATAGGGCAGATGCGGTTCCAGACAGCAACGAAGTGACTATCGCAGTAAAGCAAGTCACAGAAACGTTTTGTTTCCCCAGTACATATAAAGCTATGTTTATACTGAGAAGTGTGCAATAGCGTTATGTCTAAAAAAGTACATACCTTAATTAGAACAGACTTTATTGCTGAAAGTGCTAATGTTTGTCTGAGCCTTCGGTGAGGTGTAACCTTTTTGCTGGTGGAGGGTCTTGCCTCAGTGTTGATGACTGCTGAGTGATTTGGGGGGAGTTGCTGAAGGTTGGGGTGGCTGTGGCAGTTTTTAAAATAAGACAACAGTGACGTTGGCTGCATCAATGGATTCTTCCTTTCATGAAAGACTTCTCTATTGTGTGGAGTGCTGTTCCATAGCCTTTCACCCATAGCAGAACTTCTTACAGAATTGGAGTCCGTCCTCTCAAACCCTGTTGCTGCTTTGTCAACTAAGTTCATGCAATATTCTAAGCCCTTCCTTGTTATTTCAGCAGTGCTCACAGTCTCTTCACCAAAAGCAGATTCTGTCTCAAGAGACCACTTGCTTGGCTCATCCATAACAAGCAGCTCCTCATCCATTCAGGTGTGATCGTGAGATTGCAGCCATTTAGCCCCATCTTCAGGCTCCACTCCTAATCCTAGTTCTCTGGCTGTTTCTACCATATCTGCAGTGACTTCCTCCACTGAAGTTATTCATGAGGGTTGGAGTCCACTTCTTCCAAACTCCCGTTAAAGTTGATATTTTGACCTACTCCCATGAATCACGAATGTTCTTAATGGCGTCTAAGATGGTGAATCCTTTTCAGAAGGTTTTCAATTTTCTTTACTCAGATCTGCCAGATGAACCACTATCTATAGCAGCTGTAGTTTTATGAAATGTGAGGCTTTTCGTTTGTTTGTTTTGAGTTGAGGTCTCACTCTGCCACCCGGGCTGGAGTGCAGAGGCACAGTCATGGCCTTGCACTCTCCAGCTGGGACTACAGGCACGTGCCACCATGCCCAGGGTTTTTGGAATGGTAAACGAGCATTGGCTTCACCTTAAAGTCATCTGCTGCATTAGCCTTACCAAGAAAGTCAGCCTGTCCTTTGAAGCATCGAAGCCAGGCATTGACTTCTCCTGCGTAGCTACGAGTCCTAAGTGGCATCTACTTCTAACAGAGGGCTGTTTCATGTAAGTGGAAAATCTGTTGTTTAGTATAGCCACTTTGATCAGTGATCTTAGTTAGATCTTCTGGGTAACTTACTGCAGCTGCTGCGCCAGCACCTGCTGCTTCACCTTGCACTTTTACATTATGGAATCGGCTTCTTTCTTTGAATGTCATGAAACCAACCTCTGCTAGCTTCCAGCTTTTCTTCTGCAGCTTCCTCATGTTTCTCAGCCTTCACAGAATCGAGGAGAGTTGGGGCCTTGCACTGGATTAGGCTTTGGCTTA